AGCCAGCCTATTGGTCAGGCACGAACCTGCGATCAACTACCAGTGCAATTATAATAATTACGCCATATTTTTTTGTATATGATTGTGAGAACCAGGGCTAGTTTTTGAAATTTCGACGATCTTAGTCTTATTTAATTTGCATCAAAAAACTCAAAGGGAGAAGTAATTTATTTTAACAAATTCAACAGAGGAACTTCGCATTATTTTCCTACCGATAACATTTCCTTCGTGGGTGACACATTTCGATAAAAACTACTCATCAAAGGAGTATCACAAAAATCGGGAATTGGACTAACCACTCTCTGCATAACCTTACCAAATTTGGTCATCAAAATAGCAGGGGAGAATGACAACAAATCAAAAGAAGAGAGGGAAAAAGTCAAGAGAGAGAAATTGCCTTTCCGTTTTAAAGTGTGTGCTCATTCACGACGGTCTCCACCGCCGATCTTTCCTATTTTTCGCCCTTTCCACAGGACCTTGGCCGCTTCGAATTAACCAATAGTCGATTGGGCAACAACCAATTTTACTCTTACGAACAGTCGCCACACTGTGGATGCTTTGAATCTGCGAAGTTCATTAAAAAAAAGGGGGAGGATGATCTTTATGAGACTATTATTATTTGGTGACATCAATATCATTATATTGTTTTTATCACAAGCCTGACAGATTTAACATGCTGCAGATGTTTTGTATCAGTTCATTATTTGAACAAAAATAATCATTCCGCCAAATAATAATAATTTCCTAATGACTTTTTAAACGTTTTTCTTTCTCTTCTTTTCTTTTTTTTTCAATGAACTTCACAAATATCTGCATAAAACCTTTAAATGTTCATAACTTCTGTTAATTGCACCTTTCGAAAAAATTTGTTTCTTTTTGATGCAGAATTATAATATCCAATAAAAATTGGAAGTTTTCAGTTAATTAAGAAAGTGAAATTGACCCCACTTTCACCGATAGTAACGCCATTTATGATGAAACCGATAGTGCTATCTTGTATCTCCCTTGATGCAGAACGTTTTCAGTCTAGAATATTTTTTCTTTGGATAAATTTTTTTCGAGATATTTTGCGACTGATTAAAATGGGACACACTGTATATACCACATGTTCGTCATTTAAGTTTTTATATTATTCATCATTGGTGTCCATTGCTTGGGCACTTACCTTATTGAAATTTTAATGTATTAAAAAAACTATCGTTAACAAGTTGCAATTTATTGTTTAAATAATAAAAATTGACAAATTTTTCTTCATACAGTATATAAAAAAATGCAATGGAATGAAAAATTTGTTACAAATGCTTAAAGATTCTTTCAAAAACAAGGTGCTAGTAGCCTATTTGGCCTAACTTACTGAATTCCTTTGATTCAAAAAATTTAAGTTTTCATATTGTAAATTTTTTATGATATTTTTGAATTAGAGAACAAGATTCAACCTTGCATATTACTGTATTAAGTACATCGAGAATTACAATCTTTGAGACACTCCGTATTCAGAACATACAGAATGTCTCTCATCATACACAAAACAGCCATTTAAATAAAATTAACGAATATGTTTATATTTTTAACCACTAGCATATGCTATAATTGCGAGTATAACTGGTAATTGTATTAACTGTATATTTTAAAATAAATAAAATTTTTAAAATATGTGAAATCTTAATTTTCTCTTGATCATATTTTTATTCTATATTTTCTTAATCTCTAGCAATTGAAAACTATAACACTACTTAATATCTATCTATATTCGGTTTATGGTGTCTGACGTCGCCTTCCGATCTCCAGGAACCCTCTCCATCTCTCTCTACCGTACACCATTTCTCATTAATCCCCTTTTCACTACATGCTAACTTTACTCCGTCTTTGTCTGGGTCTTCCTCTCTTTTTCCTTTTTTGTGCATTGTATTCTATTGACATTTTTGGGAGTCTCTTGTCACTCATTCTTTTCACATGTCCAAACTAAATAAGTTGTTTCCTCTTTATTTCTTCCAAAACCGTCTCCTTCAATCCCATTAGGTCTTTGATTCTCTCATTAGTAATTATTTCTCTTTTTGAGATTATGCACGATCTTCTCAATGCATCCATTTCAACCGTTGTTACTTTTCTCTTTCCCTCTTCAGTCATTCTCCATGCCTCCGCCCCGTATAACAGAATGTTTCTAACAATAGCATTATATATTATTTTTTTTTTCTTGATCTAGTTATTTTTTTCACTCCACCATATTCCATTTAATCTTTTAACTGCTCTCCTACCTTGTGCTAATCTTGTATTAATTTCTAATGTATCTCTTCCATCTTAAATTTGTGCTCCAAGATAATTGTAATGTTCACATCCCTCAATCTTTTCTCCTTCTTCCAGTTCCATGTCTGTTTTAGCCCCTCCTATGCATAAATATTTTGTTTTACTCATGTTTATATATAAACCTCCTTTAAAATATTCCTCTTTTATTTTTCTTGTCATTTAATTTTCGAAATCTGCATATGCGATAAATATTTTGTCTTATTGCAATTGATACGTACTTAAAATAATTGTACTTACACAAAATTGTTAAAATCTTTTTAGTCGAAACTACACTAGTAATTCACACCTCTTCAACAAAATGTAAAAACTGATAAAAAAATTTTAGAATTATATACTTGGCTATATTTTATAATTTAAAACAACTTGATAAAAAAATTCTTGTCTAAATCGCAGTAATATAAACTTCGTTGCGTCCCTTAAAACTGGCGTGCAATAATAATCAAATTCCTTACATGAAACAGTAGTGAAGAAAAAAATTATTACAGTATTAGCCTACAGAACAAAATACATCATTAAAGAACTGCTTCTTTACAAATGTTATATAAACCGGAAATGGCAAAATCAATCTGGCAATTAATGTAAACTGATCAATGTCATTTATGATTTCACAACTTATTAATATGCATCATTTGTGATGAAACTGTTTTTCAATTATGTATCCTTATGCTGTGATATTGTAATAAATTTCTCATTTATTCACTGCCATTTCATATGAAGAATTTGATTTCTATAGCAATCTAGCTTTAAGACAGGTTGGATTTTTGTAATAGTGTTCATATTTGCTTTTTATAATTTTCTTTAGTCAAACATAATAGCACGATTTACATTTTGGAATTTTCTGTTAAATGGTTATAATCGAGTCGCGAATTTAGTTATTTATTCTGTCGTTTTGGAATAAGCAAGATTAACATAAATATTTTAAAAGATGCGCATGTTAAGCTCTGTACACACTTTTAATTTAGATAAGTTAGTCCACAAATTATTCTTTTAGTAAACTCGAAAACTTTCTTAATTGGCAGTTCTTGTATATTTTAAATATATTGTATAATTTTCAGTTTGTTAAAATCTCTTGTACTTTAAATGATTTTACAATTTCCCATTATATATTAAATATATATAATTCAGATGTCAAAAAATTCCTGACAACATTTTTTTCTTTAAATTTCGATCTTAGTTCTTCTGAATGCTTTAGATGGAGCTGACCAAGTGCAAATTAAAATTATGCAGAAGGAAAAGACAGTAAAGCCTTTGCCTTCTGCATAAGCGCCAAACCTTTCCAAACACTACCGAAGAGCTCCAACGTATTCACACGCAAGAGTGGGGATTACCGTCTTCCGACCTCATTAATCATCTGATAGCTGACATGAATCGTCGTTGTGCAGTCTGGATTAGTGTAAGAGGTCACATTCCTTACAAACATTTCTCGTTCATAAGTATGACCGGTTATTTTGTCCACTTTTACTTTTCCGGCTGATATATATACAAAAGAAGGGAAAATATTGGAATAATGCATATTTGACTCTCCGAGTGTTTTGTAAATCTCTGTGTTTTCAGACCTACTGAACTCCCCAAAAAATAAAAAAATAAAAATTCCCTAGACGTGTATGTATGTGTTGGCGTTTGATTCGTTTAATATCTCAGAAGGGGTAAAGATTAAGAAACGAAATTTCGCTGGTAACTTGTGCACAAAGGACATTGATATTATTAAATTTTGGTTGCGAAAGGTCGAGGAGGAGGAGGAGGAGGTGGAGGTAGTGGTCACGTATCATATCTCGAGTGGGGTAGAAATTAATGAAGATTTTACTCGTTGTTGGCATTTCTAATTTTTTATAGGACTCATTTCAAAATTAAGTCTTTTATATGTTTAATTATTATAAAATGGCAAACTATTTATAACAAAATCTCATAACAGATGGTGCCACAGACAATTTTATTTATTTACTATGATCGATAGATAACTTTTATATTTTAAAAATAAAATTTCATAACAATCGGGAATGTTACGCTACTCGTTGCTAAATTTTTTGTATGCTAATAATAGACCGAGTCCAATACTATGTTATTGTAAAATTTGAAATAAATCGCTGTAGTAGTTTCTGATCTGTGTTTGATTTTCACTCTCGTGCTTATTTTCTGAAGAAAAATGTAAGTCATCACATACATTAAATCGCGTTTATAGCATATATCGTTCAAAAGGTCGTGTTTTGCATTATCATACCATGAGAGGTAATCTTTTCAAAGGGTATCAAATTACATTTGCAATATGGCATAAAAATCCGGAACAAACCGATCGTATTGCGGGATAGTCTCCCGAAAGAGTCGTATTCGAAAGTTTCATCGTATAATTATTTCATTGTTCGGCGGCCGCATGGACGGAGAGATTAAGACCTTCGTTCTGAGGATCAGGATCGAATCTAAGCAGTTGGAAATTTTTTGGGCTATGGAATATTCCGGATATGTTAAGCTTCCCTCATCATCCGGCAGTCTCCATTGTAAGCTGCTGATCAAACCATGATGGGCATGGGTAAAAAAATTTTTTTAATACTCATGGGGCAAAAAGAGATGAAAATGAAAGAGTAAAAATTACATTACTATTGTAAAAATATTTTAAAAATAACTTCAAATTAAGTTTTAATTTACACAAATAAAAGTTTTAAAACCACGAAAAATATAATTACTCGCTAGGGAGCGCTAACCGGTGCTTGCGGTGATTTTGTAATTATTAGTATAGTTCGACTATAAAAGGGGAAAAGTCCAAGTTAATTCATGGAAAAAACTATTTTTATGTAATTCTTCGAGTTGCAATACTTAGTTTTTAAAAATATAGATTTAAAAACATTAAAAATGAATCCAGCAGCCACTCCAACTTTAATGAAAGACCAATATGGAGATGATTGGTGGATGTCTTTGGTGAGAAAGAAAACTTTTTGCTTTCAACATTCAATTAATCCTAAAACTTTTTTTACATTTAACTGAAATCCCTAATAATTTTTATTATATTGAGTATCAAACTGATAAAAACCAATTTATAAATGAGAAGTTGATAATTCTTATCTAACTTAAATAAATTGATTTGATCCTTAACAGTCTCCATTATTTTATTTTCAATTTAAAAATAAATTTTACAATTTCTTATAAATAAACTGAGTTATAATTAATTTAAGTACACGTGATTATATATATTTAAATATGAACTCTAAGAAATATTTACTGATGTTTTTGTCCATTTATAACAGACACCTTCAGGTATATAACGCAGAACAAAACGGCTACATCAGAATCCTTTTGATGTAGCCGTTTTGTTCTGTGAATTACACATACACAACGTACCGTGTTGTGTATGTGTAATTCTCTCTATTTGAAAGTAAAAGTATGAGACAAACATATCATTAATAGTCAGAAGTTTGTAATATTAACATGCCAAGTACATCACAAATAGATGAAAAAGAGAATATTATAGCATGTTTGACAGATACTGCAATAGCAGATGAAAATGAATTCAAAAAATTAAAGTTTATTTCAATGCAATTTTAGATTGTGTATGTGCTTACTTTGAACATTTATATAAAAGAAAAATTCATAATAGACTACAAAATTTTATAGAAAAATAACAATTTTATATACATGAAGTTTGTGTAGCAAAAGAAAAAGCATTAAAATTTGCAATATATATTGTGAAGCAAAAATAAACACTTCCCTCACATTTTTTTTCAAAGTATATCACAGCATGTATTCATTGTAAGTTTTATACTTATTTTCCAAAAGATCATACTGTAGAAATTTGTTTTTTCAATTAAAATTTAGAGGAAACAAAACATAACAATGTGGAATCATAAATGAAATACCCTTTTTGTTTATAAAAACAAGAATGGTATTAAAGCAGAACATACTGGTTTTATCTAGTGTGATAAGCAATGTAAACTGCAGCACTCCAAAGAAAACTAAAGAAATAAAATAATATCTTGATTTTTACTATAAAATAATTATATAAATTATTTTATACAAGTAAAATTAATTTTTTAAAAATCAAAACAGTATACAGAACATAAATGATTTTATTAGAGAATTCTATTGATTGTCTCCTACTAAAGAAAGCACTGTTAAACAGTATTTCACGTTTTTAGTTTTTTATGCTTTTAGTCTACTGAAGAGATCAAAGTGAAAAAAATGTCACCCCCAAAAAATTTCCTAAAGTTTCTGTCAGTTTATAAAAAAAGTCCCAATCTGGAATTGCTGGACAGCATTTTGTGAAAACTACCTTTGGTTTCAATGTCACTTCCTGCTTTCCTGTCTGAACTTGCTGCATAGTGTCATGACATCACTTGTGTATGGTGCTTGGGATTTCCATCACACGGGAGCTCATCATTCTGCTGTTTTTTCTAAGTGTGCTTTGTGTTTCAGTTTCATGCTGAACATCGAAATAAGCAGGTTACTTTTTATTGCTAGTATTATATTTTTATTGCCACTTTAATAAAGATATTGTCAAGTGGTGATTTTGGCATTGCAGTTTGACTCCTGCAATAGTGTCATTGATTATCTGAAATAATTAGGGCAGGACAATTTCAGACAATCATTTTTTTTATAACCAATTACTAATAAGTTACAGTTGGTAGGGAAAGAATAGTACTGTTAGCAAGTATGAAAAGATGAAAAAATTGTCAAAAAATGTGAAAAACATGGAAATATTTTTAAGTTTAAGCAAATATTTAAGTTAGATTAAATATTGATATATAGACTCCATATAATATGTTATGTTTTGGTGGTTATTATTCACAATTCTGTTATAAAATACCATTTTTTAATATTTTAGACTTTACTGTTGTGCTATAGATCATATTGTTCATTGTTTGATTTTACAGTTTGTGTAATACTTTAGAGGTTGTTTTAATTTTTCTATATGTAGCTCATGGTGCATTTAGTATTGGCTTATTGTCAGTTTTACAGCATTTGGCAATAGTGTTGATGAGTAAGTTTAACATAATATTTTATTGTTATTTGTTAAATTATTAGTATGGTTCAGATTTTTGGGTGCTTTTCCCCCCATTTTAGATACTAGTTTGGGTGCTTTTAAATTCTCTATTAAGACAAAAACCAACAAGAAGTATTATATTTACAAACTACGTAGTTGTTTATTGCAATTTACACATAAAGACAAACATTGTAATTTACAACAGTAACCATTTCAATGTTTTTAAAAGGAAGTTTTCTCGTTTGGAGGATAGAATGTCTTTATATAAGGAAAAAGATTTTTCTATGTCAACTGAGGCTAAGGGGGCATGTTTCGTTTTTACTCAGAATTCTAGTTCAGTGCAATCCAAAATATTTTTCAAATCAAGATTTTTCAGTAAATTATATCTGAGTTTGTCCAGGGCAAAACCATCCAGTACATCAAGTGCCTGACTTACAACATTCCATTGATCCTGCATTTCAGTTCCACATCTTTCCAGCTCATTGATTTTATCCACCAATAACATGTGCGAATGCACAGAATAGAGCTCTGTGGTCACTACTGGATCAGCAATCAATTTTAGACACTTTGCATAATTGCCAGGAGTTTGTTGATAAATGCATTAATTTTCTCAACGTTCTTGCAGTAGAATACCAACTGTTTATCCAAGACCCTTAATGGGTGACCACTGGTAATGGCAGCCCAGTTACATCTTGATACAAGCGCTCCTGACTAGGGCACTTGAGAACCATTTTCATTTTTGAAATGAAGTCATTGGCCTTGCTATATTCTACATGAATACATTCACATACTCGCTGTAGGGCATGGTCACAATGCTATGAGAAACTTTTATCATATAGGCGTTAAATTACAAACAAATGTCGCTAGACTGACGAAAGTATGATAAAAGTTTCTCATATTAAATGGTCAGCTTTCTGTCCACTTCTGTATTACAAGTCACATGCTTTAAGTTGTACATGCACTTCAAGTTTGAGAATGCTGACATGAAAGATGCTTGATCTGTAACGAAAAATCAAACCTTTTTGTACTGGACACCATTTGGCTACAACTTGATGCAAACATCATTGAAAGCTTGGGACACTGTTGTTGAGTTCGTATTTTCAAGTTGGTACATTTTGAACAACATTGGTTGTACATAGCATCTGATCAGTGGTGCAATGAGAACATTTCGCATGTACCGTTTTGTGAAATCTGTTCTTTCTCCCAGTATAAGCACTACAGGATTGTCTCTGACAATGTCCAGGATTTTAGATATTGTTTGATCATAAATTGGTTTCACACATTTTTTCTGAGTGCTCTCGTCAGGGACAAGCTTTCCTGTATATTTCTGGAGAAATGATGTAAAGGCTGGATTGTTTACCTAATATAAGAGTATATTTGCCTGCAGAAGAGCAGTGTTAAATCTGCATAAAACATATTATTAGCCTTCTGAGATTCTTCTCTTTGAAATGAGGCCCCTATAAATATCTGCTTGAAATTCCTCTTTTTCTGTTTGCCTTCTCTATGCTTATCCAAACTCATTTGTTGCCTGATTTTCATTTCTTGGTGTTTCACATCAACCGAAATCACATAATCGCAAATGGAACAGTGAAGAACTTTTCTGTCTGTGCACATGCCTTCATCTTTAAACTTATTTGCTAAGGTGTTCGTTCAGTTTAGATGAGGACAATTTTGCCATTTCTTAATGTCACCGATACCGAACAAAAGAAACTGGAACTGTTATACTCACAAGTCACATTATTAATATTAAATAACAATGTGACGTCAATACAGAATCTTCTAGATTCTTCTTTTCTTAGAAAAGAAAACATTTGATGCAGATTTTCAGTGAATCTGTTTACATTCTTAGAACAATCCTAAGGCTTAGTTGTGTAGTCCAGAAAATTCCCCTTTACCCCCTTTTCTCTCAACAAAAGAAGAGAGTAAGCTAATTATCNTTTGTTCATATTTTAAACCGTATTGGCGACGAAATTAAATATTAAAATGGAAAAGGTTAATTGCTGAACAATGGTTTTGATAGCTTTAAGATTTTATTTCTGGAAGCTTTCGGAATATAGCTGGCGACCATTTCTGATGTCACAAACAAATAACCTGATTGGCCGAACGACTCCTAAAACGGGAGTAATAGCGAAGTAAGTAAGAGCCAATGTTTTGCCGAAGTTTGTTTAGAGAACGATCAGAAATAGATGATCATTGTCTTTGCAGAGCATTTTAAACCCACAGTTCAGCCAGCCGACGTCTATAGGTAAAATATTAATAGAGAATGTTTCATTTTAACTGTATAAGTAAAGAACCAGTAAAAGAAATTGAGATATATAAGGTTCCATTTTAATCAATTACTAGAATTTGAAAAATATGCATCTACAGAAAAAATCTTTAAAGCAAAAATGTTAGACATCAAGTGAGCTACAAAATGAGACTATTGGTTTTGTCATAAATGGCACTACAATTGTTGAAAATGGGGTCAGTTTCATTTCCTTAAATGGGAACCTACATTTTTTACTGAATTATTATGATTGTACATCAAAAACATTTTTTGAAAGATGTACATACTTGAAGTATTGAGCATTTGAAGTTTTATGCAGCCGCCACACATTGTACATGTATATCTGTAAGGTTTGCTGAAAAAAGGAATAAAAATGTTAATATCATTAGGAAACAGTTATTATTTCATGGAATCTAGATTAACATATCTTTATCACAAGCTTGATGGCTTTAACATGCTGTGGCACTAGTTTTGCATCAGTTCATTATTTGAAGAATGATTCCACTAGAAGTAGAGATGAGCTTTCTGTAATTTGTAATGCAAGTGTTTATCAAAATGACAAAGTTAATACAAGAGGAGGCTTCCCTTACTTGTATTTTATATGATGAAATATCTCTGATTCTTACCTTCATATGAAGGTTTCTTGAACTTGAAACAATTCCCAATTGCAAAGAC